GGATGGGGTGGAGGATGGGGTGGAGGATGGGGTGGAGGATGGGGTGGAGGATGGGGTGCTCTTCCCCCACTGCTCGGAGGGCTCCAGCTTGAGAAGCAATAGGGAACTCCGAGTCCCCCTAACCAGTGCTGCCCCCACCTGCGGGCGGGGGACACCCTCCAAAGGACACCTGTGGACAAAGGTCCTGCTGGCCACCACCCCTCTGCCTCCCTGAGCCTTGCTAAGCAGGGTCCACAGGACAGCCGACACAGGCTGACCAGGCCATCCCGGTGGGCTGGACCGCAGGGAGAAGCCTGGCACTGGCTGGCTGCTGTGGAAAGCAGGCGGCACCTTGAGGACACGCGGGGCAGGTACTCACTGTGGATGGGGCAGGAGCAGGGACAGCGGCAGGCGGCGGTGGCGGGGTGGTGGACAGCCAGAAGTCTAAGTCCTCACCCTGAAGCCACAAGAGGAACACTTTTGACAGAGGCAGGGAGGGCAAGGGCAAGGGCTGGGCTCCAGCTGGTGGCCACTCCTGCCGCCCTGCCCCAGCCCAGCCTGGCTGCTGTTAGCACAAGTCCTGGCTGCTGACCGGACCCCACAGGGGCTCGGCCAAGATGGCAGCAACAGCCACCAGTCAGTCGGGAAGCCAGCGGGGCTAAGTGGTGACTGGAGCGGGGTTAGAGCCAAGCAGCAGGTTCTCACACTGGCTCAGGCTGGCCTAGCAGTCATGGCGATCCTTTCCCCCAGTCTCCGGAGTGCTGGGACCCATCCTGCATGTGAGCTGGCTGCTGGTGCAACCTGGGCAAGAGACCGACAGGCAGTCTCCAACACGCCACCCCACCAGGCCATACCTCAGAGGCTGGCTGCATTGATGGGTGGGACCCTGGGCTTGATCCCAGCCTTCACAAATAAAATCTATTTTTAGCCAGGCCTGTTATGAAGCTGAGGCAGGAGGATTGCAAATTCAAGGTCAGCCTGGACAACTCAGTGAGATCTAGTTCAAAATGCAATGTAAAAAGTATCCTGTTTGAGTCGAGTATTGTGGCGCACGCCTTTAATCTCAGCACTTGGGCGAAAGAGGCAGATGGATCTCTGTGGGTTCAAGTCTAGCCTGGTCTACAGAGTGAGTTCCAGGATGACCAGAGCTACAATGTGAGACTCTGTCTCAAAAAAACCAAAAACCAAAAACCAAACCAAACCGAAGCAGCCTGGGGATGGGCAGAGTGAGCACCACCTCCCCAGCATGTGCCCAGGCCTGGTCCCAGCACTCAGTTGGTTTGCAGAAGGCTAGCCCAGAACAGCGGCTCCCTGGGCATGGCCCTCGCTGGGCTTGCACGGTCCCACCCTCTGCGGCCCTGGCTCTGCACCGGCCGGAGCCTGGGGCCCTCACACACCTTCTTGTCCTTCTTCTTCTTCTCCCTCTCTCTCTCCTTGGGCTTCTTCTCCTTCTTTCTGGGCTTCTTGCTCTTCTTCTCCACCCCGGGGACGCCCTCCTTCTCAGGGGACTTCACAGTCTCAGCATTCCTGTGTTTCTGGACAGGCAGCTTCTCGCTGTCAGCCAAGGGCCTTGGGGAGGAGGAGGGGGGTCACCAGGTGAGCTGTGACCCCCCCCCCCGGGGCTGCTGGCCCCACAGATCCTGAGGCTCCAGCAAGTCCCCAGACAGCTACAGTTCCGGGAGCACTGACCCCATTCCCTCCCACATTCCGGATGTGAACAGTGCGGCCCATGCCCACGTGGGATGTGGGTGTCTGTCCAGGTGCACACGTGTCCAGTCACGGGGAGGGCAGAGGGCAGTGCCCCTCCTTTTCCTGTTACTCTCCGCTGGACCTTTGGGCAGGGTCTGTCTCTTACTGACCCGGAGCCCCCTCACTCAACCAGGCTGGCTGCCAGCGGGCTCCTGGGTTCTGGGGGCCAGGGCAGGCTCTTAACGAGCGCTGGAGAGGAGCTCGGGCCTTCCGGCTCACAGCGCAGGCGCCGTGCCGGGCACACCGCAGAGCCCCCGCCATGGCCAGGGATTGTCTCAGCGCCCCGGGAATGGGGATCTCACCACTGAAGAGCAACCCCACCCAGTCTTCGGTCTGTTCCTCACCCATCACTTACTTGTCCAGGTCAATGTCCAGCGCCCTGTAGGGGTCATTGGGGTCCTTGTCATCCTCATCACTAGGCAGAGCATTCTGAGGGATGGAGAGGTCAGGGCTCAGTCAACTAGCAACCATGCTGTCCTGGGGGAGGCTCACTTCGGCCCCAAATCACAGAACTGCCTGGACAGTCATGCCCACACCACCCATGTGCCAGCTGCCCAAGGTAAGGGCCATGGCTGCCAGCTCACAGACTGGAGTAAAACCATGTCCATCGTGGAGGGCTGTGTGACAGGGCGGGCAGGGACTGACCTCGGGCATCTCCTCGGTGACGATGTCCACGCGCTGGGCGGGGGCGATGTCCTCGTCGCTCTCTGTGGGCAGGGAGCTGTGGCGACGCTTGCCCTTCTCCTTCTTCTTCCTCTTCTTGTCCTTCTCCAGGCGCTGCCGGTGCCGCCGCTGCTCCTCCAGCTTTACATACTGGTCCGACATGGGCATGCCTGCGGGGACATGTGGATGGCCAGAGCTCACGGACGCCCGCAACTCTGTCACGTCCCACACATGAACCCAAGACAAGGAGACACTCGCCTGGAACTTTCAGAGGCACTGAGAGGTCGATCTGCACCACAGGAATGTGCTCCACGCCTGGTGCATCCTGGTATCGCTGAAAGAGGGACCACAGGGTGTCAATGTGCCTCGGGGACTCAGGAGAGGGGAACCCTGTGTGCCAGAGAATGGTGGCCCCCATTGCAGCATGGGAGCATTACTCATATGCTTCAGGTTCCATAGTCGGTGGGGGCCGGGGACCACAGCCATGGAAAGTGATGTCATAGGCTATTTACACCTAAATCTATCCACGATCGTCACTTTTTTGGACTCGGACTAGAGGCCGGCCTCAACCTCACTCTGTAGCCAAGGGGCGACCTTAGATTTCTGCTTCTCCGGTCTGTCTCCTGACCCCTAGGTGACCACACCTGGTTGTGTGGTCCTGGGGATGGAACCCAAAGCTCACACATGCCGGGCAGGGGCTCTACTCACAGAGCCCTGGGGCTAGGACCAATAATGCCTGCTCTGTCCACCTGAGAAAGCAGTGCACATTTAACCCCAGAGCAGGTGTCCCTTGCACCCTGGGGGGCTGAGAACTCTCCTCCTCAGCTACAGGGTTCACCAGCGACTCTGATACACTGCAGGATCTGGCTGAAACCCCTTAGGGCCCTGAGGAACTGCCAAGAGCTGAGATGCCAGCACTTCTTGTAGGTCCAATGGGCCAGCGGGGCAGAGCATGCACCTCCAGGCAGTCTAGATGGGCTCCACCTAGAACGGCCAGGCTCTCTACCAAGACCTGGACGCAGCCCAGCTCTGCTCAGCTGTAGCTGGGACTACACATGCACAGCTCCCTCCCCAAGGCATGGCCCTAAGTACGTTACCCTCTTGGAGGGTTCAGTATGGCAGCTGGTGGGGGGCTCTCAAGGACCACTTGCCTTCTGTGGGGACGGGGAGCTCTTGATGTAGAAAGGGTTGTTGGCTTGCTCCTGCTTCCGGGCCTCTCGCCGCTGTGGGGACAGGACTCTACGTGAGTATGTGTGTCAGAAAAGTGCCCGTCCATCTCCCAAGACCCAGGTGGGCAGGGAGGAGTCATAGTAGGAAACATGAGGACCCCCTCAAGGGGCAGAGCTCCCGGGTAGGCCGACCGCTGAGCCTATCTATCTCCCAGGAGCAGCACTCAGGAATGGGCAGACAGACCACCTGAGGTTCTGGCCTCCTGGGAGCAGAACTGGCCTGGGTCTGCCCACCCTGGTGTTCCTGCTGAGGGTCCAGGAAAGGGGGCTCATGGGAGGGGCTGGGCCACCAGGAGGGCAAGGTGGAAGCTAAGGGTCCTCTGGCCTGGGTCACAGGCTGGGTCTGGTTGTATGGCAGAGCCTCAGGTGCCCCTAGGCCCGACCATCAGCTACTCTTTGTAAGGAGACCCAAACTGGGTTCTGCCCTGTGCTGGGTGCTCCTGAAACGGCATGCTCACCCGGGCTAACTCTTCCTCGTCCTCCTCAGGCTGCCGGCGCCGTGCGTGCCTGGGCTCCTCTTCATGGAAGATGGCCTTGGGTTTCTCATCCTCAGACTCACTGTCCGAAGGTGGCTCATTGATCCAGGCATCCAGGTCTAGGCTGGGATGTACAGAGGAGGTCACATGGTGGCCTGGTCTCCTCTGTGTTGGCCCACCATATGCCTGTGACATCTCTCAACATCAGCATCACAGGGACCAGGCAAGGCAGGATGCCATAGCCCCAGAGAGAAGACACAGAGATGGGAAGGCAGGAAGCCTGGGAGGAAACAGCAGACCAGGACAGGGGCCATGGAATCTAGGAGGACTATGACCGGCAAGGGTACTCCCAGAAGGACCAGAGAACAGGGGTGCACAGCACCAGAGTGGCCGTCTCTTGTTCCCTTGGATGGTAGCTGGTCCTGGGGCATGGGAGCCGCTAATTCCCTACATCAGGGACACTTGAGTGGCTGCAGCCCCATCAGTCCCCACGTCCCCAATCCTCACCCTTCAGGAACTGGGACCTTCTTCTGGGCCTTGGGGGCCACGGGGTTCAGTTCACCAGCGAACAAGGCGCTCACTTCCTCGGCCACCGGCACACCTTTAGCCTGTAGCTTCTGCACGTGCTTGACCAGCTGCAGGATGCAGGACGCCTAGGGGAGCAGGGGTCACGAGTGGCGTGCCTGAGCATACGGTGCGGGGCCTGTCCTCCCCATTCGCTCTGCCAGAGACCTCATCAAGTCTTACTGTCTCAGACAGGGAGACAAGGCCCACCAGGGTCAGAACAGGAGGGAGCTCAGTAATGTCATCTCCGGGGGGGGCCCCGGGGAGCCCCTCAATCCTGTGCTGGCTCGAATTCTCAAGACACAGCTGTACAATCAATCAGGGTGGGTTCCTCCTTCCCACGGGGCTCAGCCGGGGAAGCTCCTCGACCACAGATGCGCCAGCACCCACACCTGACCTCTTCAAAGGGTCCCCAGAGACCGAGCAGAAGCCTCATGGCACCTGGTTCAGTGGGAACCTACATTACTATGAGGTGCCAGGAGCAGCCTTGGCCACTGGGCCCCATGCCCAGGTATCAGCCCAGGACCTTGGCCAGGCTGTCCCAGGCTGGGCATGAAGACACTGCACATGCCTGAGACACACACCTCCGGGTTCAAGCCCCGTCCCACAACACACCAACAGAGAGGATCCCAAACCAGCTCCCAGAGCAGCAGCAGGGCCTGCCCATCTCCTAGGCCGCTTCTCATCCACACCACAACCCCTGCTCACGGACCCCAGGCCTCAGATGGGCAGAGCTAGGAGAGACCTTAACAATTCACTTTAGAAATGGGAGAAAATCCCTTCCATCTACTGGCTCTGTCCAGGACAAGGACCTAGAAGGAGACCAAGAGCGTCTCTAGACATGGGGGTCCCTGGTAACGCTACCCGCCCTGTGAGTCCAGACCTAGCTATGTGGGCACACACGTTCACACAGCATCCCAGCTGGAGGTGTGTTGGGGGCAGGAACTGCGGGATCTTTAGGAGGCGCCCTGCTGGAGGCTCTGCTGCCTCACATGAGGTGTGAGCAGACAGCCCCCACTCCTGACGGACACCATGCCAGCCCTGGATGTGCTCACAGGGCACGAGCTGTGGCCAACCGTCCTCTCTGACGCTGCCCCTGTCAGGTGCAGTCTCGACCACGAGCAGAGCCCCAGCCTGCAGGCCTTACCCGCTCCTGCACCTCCAGGTCAGCGCTCTGCACAAACTGCGGCAGCCGCTCCACCAGCAGCTGGGTGACCTCCTGCGCAGCCTCGGTGTCGGCGGCCTGCTCCTTCTGCTGCAGGATGGACGCGTACAGCTTTACCACGTTCTGCACATACACAGCCTGGATGTGGCCGGGCAGTGTGGTGACCTTGGGCCGCAGCATGGCCTCCAGGGTTTGCTGGGGCGCCTGCAGGTGCCTGGGGGACAGGGGCTGCATGAGGCTACTGAGCACACTCACAGGCCCACCCCACAAGGAAGCCAGGGCAGGGATGTGGGGTCTCGACTTCTCAGCTAAAGTGCAAACTTGGGGCACTCGCTTTCACTAAGAAGTGGGGAACTAAGTAAGAACCACGAATTCCACAAAAAGGGACACGGTTTGAAGAACCACGGCAAAGATGAGACTATCACCAGCAGGCACAGAGGACCCATGTGACCCACGTGCTGCCGTCACTGTTCTTGGTAAACAGCGTGTGCTGGCATGGACTGTATTGCCTGGCTTCAGCTCTCAGCACCACAAACCAAGCACTCCTCAACGCACTTCTGACATCCATGTGCACTCTGTGGCTGCCCTGTGGGTTCAGAGAGGAGACCCCCACTGGGTCCTCAAAGGAGCACTGATAAGTGGCTGCCATGGGCTGAGCCCTGGGGCACTGGGAGGTGCTAAGTAAATTTTGTGACTCTTCCAGAGAAATGTGCTCTCCAGTAGACTTCCGGGACAAGTTGGATATTTAACAACAAATCGACACCTGCTCTGGGTCACAGCTGTCATGTGTCCTTGAGGCCAGGTATCTGAGGTGGCATGTAGTACTAGTCACCCCGGCCTACCCACCTACATGCTCCTGGAGCCTGGCAAGAGGGCACAGCAGCTGCCGTGTGGAGCTCTCCCAGGGCAATCTCAGGGCTGGTGGGACAAGCCTATCATCGCTGTATGGGGAGGCCTGGCTGAGGGTGGCAGCCTGCCCAGCTAGCAAGACCCTTGAAACAGAACGGATCTTTCGGTGGCCTATGAACTAGAGGGCTCTCCACAGCCAGTGTGACCCACGTGGCCAACCACTCTATGGAGGGAGACAAACAGGGACTTGGGCAGGGCAGCCCAGGAGTGACCATCTTTCAGGCAGAGGGTCTGCCACACATCCCTCCACCAGGCCACACTGGGCCCCCTCTGAGGGCCACACCAACTCACTCCGAGAACTCCCCGCAGATCCAGGCGGCCGCGTAGAGCACCTCACAGATGCCATTGCGCTGGGTGCTGCTGGTCACAAGGTGGGCGCTGTCAAGCAGTGCCGACATCTGAGACACGGCGAACTTGCGGATGGCCTTGACCCGGATGGCCACATCGAGCATCTGTGCGGCGATGAGGTGGCCGTGGCGGGTGCCCTCCAGCCGCGTCAGCTCCACGAGGATGCTGATGTACCACTCGAAGTTGGTGATGTGCTGGTAGTTGGACTGGCTGCAGATGTCAATGATCTTGGTGAGCAGCTCATCGCGATAGGTGGTGCCCTCGGCCTTGTCCACGTGGGTCATTAGCTTCTTCACGATCTCCATCAGGTTCTTCTTGGACACCTGCGGGAGAAGAGCCTGCTGGTCAGCACAGGTGGACGTGACCGGCTGTGAGATGACAGCTGAGACTGAGTTCAGGAACCCACGAGGGCCGGCTTCTTCCCCAGACAGCAGTCACCCCGGGCAGGAGTCAGCATGTGTCTGACTAGGGGAGGCTGACGGAGGCCCCATTCCCTGCAGCTGGGACAGGTGCCGCCCACTGAGCCGGGTGCTGAAGCTGCAAGGGCCCGCGTCCTAGGCACAGGGACACACACCATTCCATAGAGCAGGTCGAGTGCGCGCAGGCGGATGGACTCGTCCTTGTCATCCAGGCACTGCAGGATCAGGTCCTTGTGGGACTGCACAGACTTGGGGTGCGTCTTCAGGATCTTAGACATGGCCAGCAGCCCCAGGTACTTTACTGTGGAGACCAAGTGGCCATTAGCTTACAGACACCCAGTGGAATACCATGGCCAATGGGTGCAACGGAGGAATGTGTCACCACTTCTGGCCACTGTGGCCCCAGCTGGCACTTTTGTGATGCCCACCCCCCAACCTATCACAGCATGGTCCACAGGCACGGCCTTCTGGAAACCGGGGCAGCAGGTGTCAGGACCCGGCAGGGTAGGAACCGCGTGTGTACTATGCGCAGGCCTAGCAGCAGAGTGTGGGCTGCTCCTCCAGAAGAGCCGAGTCTGGTTCCCAGCACACATCGGGCAGCTCTGACGCAAGTCCAGCTCCAGGGCATTAGGTGCCTCCAGTCTCCATAGGCACTGGGATTTCTGAGCACAGACCCACTCATGAACGCCTAATTACAAATGGCAAAAACTTACAAAGAACTTAAAAATATGTGTATTAAAAAAAGGAACCAGCCGGGTGGTTGTGGTGCACGCCTTTAATGCCAGCACTTGGGAGGCAGAGGTAGGCGGCTCTACAGAGCAAGTTCCAGGACAGCCTGGGCTTCATAGAGAAACCCTGTCTCAAACAAAACAAAACAAGGGCTGGAGAGATGGCTCAGCGGTTAAGGCACTGGCTGCTCTTCCAGAGGTCCTGAGTTCAATTCCCAGAAACCACATGGTGGCTCACAACCATCTGTAATGAGATCTCGCGCCCTCTTCTGGCCTGCAGGCAGACATGCTGTATACATAATAAAAAAATAAATCTTTAAAAAAAACAAAACAAAAACCCAAACAAAAAGAACAGCAGTGATGGTGGTCTAAGGACCATGCCCACATGCTCTAAAGGTCACTCTGGCCCAGTGTGGGCCTCACGGAAAAGTGGGGAGACTGAAGCAGAGCCACAGACGACAGCTCTGCACCCAGAAGCCTCAATCTGCGACAGGTTCTGAGGTGGCCGCTCATCAACAGATGGCCCAGCCTGCCACCTGGTCTGGGTCAGTAGGCGACCCGTTCTGGAGCAGTGTGAGACACAAGGAAGGCAAGAGCAGGTCACCATACACTCCCTCCCTGAGGGCCAGGCCGACGCCAGCCTGAGGCTCTGCACCTGAACCCTGGCTCTGCCTCCACCTCCCAAGGGCTACCCTAACAGGTGTACCCGCACACCAGCCTCCCTCTCCTTCAATGAAAAACAATCCCATTTTTATTTGTATGGGGGTGTACACCAAGGTCAGCAGACCATTTGTAAACGTCATTTCTCTTCCCACCACGTGGGGTCCAGGGAAGGAATCAGGGCGTCCGGCAGGTGTGGTGGCAAGCCGCTGTATCGACGGAGCCATCTCGCCAGCCCGTTCTGCTTTGAGACAGGGCGTCGTAGTGTGGAACCAGGCTGGCCCTGAACTCCCAACTCTCCTGCAGCGCCTCCTGCTCCGCAGACCTTACAGTGATTATTTCTGAGACGAGGTTTATGCAGCCCAGGCTAGCCTCGAACTCGTTAGGCAGCCAGACATGACCTGGTTTCTGAGGCACAGGCAGGTCTGGATCCTGAACCTGACACACTCACGAGTGAGCGCAAACAGCCGAGCCTGAGTGCAGCCCAGACCATCCCGTGCTGCTGTCTCCACACTACATTCGGTCCGGCCCCACCGTTCAAGGGTGGGCAGCACCCAGTGCCCTCCCCACGGTGACCCGACTGCCCGACCCAGTCAGTGTGCTGGAGCGCACAAGGACAGCAGAGGGCGGGCGGCCAGGTGGGCTCTGAACCCCAGGCACGGCATTCAGGCATGGTCCCTGGCAGGGGCGGTCACTTACAGTTCTGGTCCGAGTCTTCTATCAGTATCCTCAGCTTCTGAACGCAGAGCTGAGGAGGAACGTCACACTGGTCAGGCTTTCCCTGGCAGGCTCCAGCTGGTCTCTACCCCACCACCATGCTCTGCAGCCTGTCACCAGCCCTGACCAATGGCATGCATGTGGGTACAGGAAGGGGAGGTGACTGCAGCCTTCTCACTGGAGACCCTGCTCAGCATGACAGAGTGGATCTGCAGGTGCCAGTGAAGGCAAGTGGGGGCATGCCTTGTCTGCAGTCTGCAGCTGCCCAGGCAGACTGAATTTGGCTCCAACAGGGCAGGAGGAGGTGGGGTGGGGAAAGGAGGTGCCTGTGTCAAGGACTTCCTTTATACTTCAGCTGAGAAAAACCAATTTGGAGGTGATCACCACAATGGGTTCCCGACTGGCTGAGGAGCCTTGGGCCTGGCCACCCATAAGACCTAGTTCTACTGATCTGCATGGCTCCTTCTTGGCAGACGCACCTGGATGCTGGCGCTGTGGTTGGGCATGCCGGAAGACAGCGAGATGAGCACTGGGGCACATGGAGGATGAGGTTAGTGCCCTTGGGTCAGACACTGCCACCCTACTGACCCATCCCCACCAACGGGGGCCTGGCTGGCTGGCTCACAGGAGACTCGCGTGTTCAGAAGGCAGCTTACCCCTGGGCCTTGGGGAGCCAGCCTGGGTCTCCCACCCTCCCAAACAGGAGAAACTTTTGACCTGAAGCACTGCTACCTAAGACAGGCTCACACACAGTCCCTGTTCCTCTCTGACTTCTGGAGTGCAGACCTATGCTGGAGAGCGGCCCCCAAGACCTCATGGATTTGGGGAGCTCTCAGATGACGACAATCCACACATCACCAGCCTGTGGCTGAGGACACAGCATGATCTGACTGCCAGGGAGAGTTCTAGAAGCCCTGACTGCTCTTCCTGTGGCTGACAGCTAGGTCCTGTCATGCAAGGGTGGCTGTGTGAGTCCTGAGGACTCTGCTGTGATCACTGTGGCCTAGAGACGGGCTCACACCTTCATGCCACCTTTCTCCTCTGCTCCCCCCACCCAGGCAGGATAGCCATGCTCAATCACAAGCCCAAGGGTGCTGGGCCCAAGTCCCAAGTCTCTATTTTGGGTACGCTGTGTGCCGTGTGTGCAGACAAAGGTGAACGGCAGGCGTCTTCTGAAATCCTTCCACCTGGTCTCTCGAGACAGGGCCTCTCGCTGACCCTGGAGTCCGCTGACTGACTCAAGGGGCTGCCAGCAAGCTCCAGGGATCTGCCTGTCTTTGCCTTCCAGTGCTGCGGATGCACTTAATTCCCTGGGCCTGTAAAGCCCTGGAGGACAGGACTATGGCAGCTCAGTTCTGCTGGAGGGGCCTGGGGGAAGCCTGGAAAAGTGGGATGCTGCCTCCCAGGTGGACATGTGCTGGTTTTGGGCTCTGTCCCCACTTGGGAGACTAACCTCTCAGATTTGCAAAGAGGCCTGAGGAAGAGCTGGGAGATGAGCCATGCAGACACCTGAGTTTACACCAGCACCAGAGAAGAGGATTTGGGCAGGAGGCAGCCACCTCATCCAGATGCTCTGGGTCCTAGGCAGCTCAGGCCTCTCAGCTCCTTCCAGCAAGAGGGCCTGCATCCTCTCCTAGCTTGATAGCAGCTCAAGAGGGCGGCTGACCCCCCCACCCAACCAGCACCCTCCTGGCAGGCTATGGTCAGCACTCACCTGCAATCACGGTATTCACACACTCGTACAGCAGGGACATGGCAGAGGTGCTGAGAGAGAGGAGAGTGTGAGGACCAGCCCAAACAGTGTCACACACTAACAAGGTCACTCTGCTGGGCTCCATGGGAACAGCACTACTACTGTCCCTTTAGAGCCCTGTGACACCATGGTGATTACTACGGTCCTCTCAGGCAGGGAATGCAGCCCAAGACTTTTAACTTCTCTGGAGCGCCAGCCCACCCCACCCCTGCCCTGCGTGTAATGATGGCCTGCAGCCCCTCCTAGGCCACCCTTCCAGAGGGTCAGTCCAGGGGGACATGACATGGCGCTGGGGCCCCAGGAGAGCAAAGGGCACACGAACGCACTGCTGGGTATGTGGAGTGCAAGTGAAAGGTGACTGAGCTAAGTGTAGTGGTGTGCACTCACAACCAGCATCCAGGAGGCAGGAGGACTGTTGTGAATTCCAGGCAAGACTGGGCTATAGAGGGAAATGTGCCTCAAAAAAACCCAAACAGGCCGGGCAGCGGTGCACACCTTTAATCCCAGCACTTGGGAGGCAGAGGCAAGTGGATCTCTGTGAGTTCGAGGCCAGCCTGGTCTACAGAGTGAGATCCAGGAAAGGCGCAAAACTACACAGAGAAACCCTGTCTCGAAAAACAAACAACAAAACAAAACAAAAAACCAAACAGACTGAACAGACTGGCCTCGGCAGAGGGTGGAGAGCAGTCGATGTCTGAGCAGCACCAATGTCCCTGCCCAGGGGTGGTGGCCGAGGAGTAACTACCTGTGAATGAGGTTGGTGAGCGGCTCAATCAGCTTCTTGCCCAGCCTGGGCTCCAGAGGAGTCAGGGCGCCGAACTACAGGACAGGGGTGCTGTGGTCACTGGGAGACCCGCAGACTGCGGATCCAGGCCCAGCACACAACCCACGCTTCTGCACTTACCAGCTTGATGATTTTGATGAGGACCCAGTTGTTGGTGGAGGATGTCATGAGCTTGAAAAACAGCGGGGCCAGGGACAGGTAGTTCTTAGGGTTGCGACGTGCTAGCTCGCAGATGACATTAACAGCCGCAGACTGCACCCCTAAGGATCAGGAGATGGGTCCACATCAGCAAGGAGTGGGATGTTCTGCTACCAAGGTGACATCTCTGTCAACAAGGGCATCCCTGTTTACAGGGAACGTCCCCATCAATAACCAAAGAGCCGGACATGCCCACCACAGCAAAGGAGGCTCCCCATCAACAGGGATACCCTGGACAACAAGAACCTGTGGTACAGGGCTCACTGTAGAAGCCTGGGCACACACTGGTGACTGCCACCATGCACACAGCATGTGGTACAGTGAATGGTCCCTAAGGCTACACTGCTCCTGCTCGGGACAGAACGGTTTATCTACCTCCCACCCTCTAAGTACCATTTATTTGTTATGAGTGCGTGCTGCATGTAAGCCTGGGCAGCACACACATGCAGGGTCTGCACACCAGAAGGATCCAGAGTTCCAGGAGGCTGTGAGCTTCAGTGGGGTGCTGAGAACTGCACCTGGGTCATCTGCAAGAGGGGACAGTCTCTCGACAGCCAAGCCCTCTCCCCAGCTGTATATCTATCTCCCTTTTGCTCTTTGGCTTTCTGGTTTCGTTTTAGGTATGAGTGCTGAGTGGTCTGTCTGCATGAATGCCAGAGAGAGCTTCAGATCCCATTACAGAAGGTTGTGAGTCACCACGAGAATTGAACTCAGGACCTTTGGAAGAGCAGCCAGTGCTCTTAACTGCTGAACCATCTTGCCAGCCCCTTGTTTTTGTATTTTTGAGACAGGGTCTCTCTATGTAGCCCCTGGCTGTCCTGGAACTCACTCTGTAGACCAGGCTGGCCTTGAACTCACAGAGATTCTCCTGCGTCTGCCTCCTGAGTGCTGGGATTAAAGGCGTGCGCCAACGCCGGCCGCCCTTTTGCTTTCTTGAGACTGGGTACTGACGCGGGAGGGAGACGCCACAGTGGTCACCACCCACAAGTTGCCCATGCTGACACGAGCAGACCTGAGGGACTCTTTCTTTGGTTTGTCACTGCTGCCCAGTCTGGCAGGGCTGGGGTAGGATGGCGGGAAAGGTTCACACACCCTGCCTTCAAACAGTCACACACGCTCACAGACGCACACACGGATACCCACATGCACACACAGGAGTGGAGAATCTGTCCTGTCTAGTCGCAGCAAGAGCCGCGTCCCTGAGACAGAAGGAGTGCCTCTTGGCAGTTCAGCAGCTCACTTTTTCTGATGCAGGGTCTCACGGAGGCAGGCTGGCCTTGAACTCCTGACCCTCTGCCTCCACTGCCAGGCCTGTGCCACCACACCTGCTCTATGTGGAGCTGGGAATGGGATCCAGGCTTTAGCATGTGCTGAGGGAGCCCAGCCTCTGGTCTCAGCCTACAGCCCAGGCTGCCCTTAGAGTTCTCCTGTCTTAGCCTGCCAATACGTTCCTTAGGTGACCCGGAGCCACCACGACGGAAATGCCCGGAGCGCCTGGTTCATGTGGCAAGCTCACTGCAGAGCTGGTGTGCTCTGGCCTCCTCTCTTCCTTTCGGGGTGGGGAGGGACCCGGCTCTCCAGGCTGCCGGCCAGCAGCCGCAGGCAGCCAGGCAGGCAAGGCAACAAGCTGGGAGGCTGAGGCCCTGCTGTGGACACACCCAGAACCTGCACACTCGCGTGCCCCATGTACAAAGTGCCGAGTGGGTCCCTTGTATCCCAGTCTTAGGAATCTCCTGGCACTCTTTGCCTCCAAGGGCCTGTGTGGCCACGGCAACCCGTGGTCCCGGCCACAGGACTGCTCCACTGCCAAGCGCGCTCCTCTTAGGAGGCCTCCGTGTGTTTCCGTTTCCCAGGACAAGCCCGTCAGGGACACAGTGGCCACTCTACCTGTGTGTCTCATCATGAGCGATGTTCCTGGGCTCAAATCCTAAATGACCACAACTTCAATCAAATGGCATTTAAAGCCTCCACATGCTCGCCGGCCCCTCGAGGCTCTTGGGCCAGCTGTAGGGTCTACGGCACCCTGTACGTCTCAGTTATCTCTGCAGAGGTGGAGGATGGCAGGACTGACTCGCTCGCTCGCTTGTTCGCTCGCTCGCCACATGCATGGCTCCCAGGGCCCCGGGCTCTGCTGGTCTCACAGCAAGCTGCAGCCTGACAATCCACTCAGGCCCTGGGAGCCATGGGAGTCTCAACTCACTGTGTACTGTGGCTTGTGGATCAAAGGAGATTTGCAGTGGGGACCACATGGCTCCCATCATGCCCCACCCTCCCATCCTCAGGATGGCTAGGCAGAACTTCCCGTCACCAACCTGGGTCTGGGTCCTCCAGCTTCTCCTTGAGCCGGGGGAAGGCAGGACGCAGCGACTCAGGGTACTTGAGGAACACCTTGTACATGATCAGCACCGCCTTCTTCCTGATGTACGGCTTCGTGTGAGACATCTGTGGGTACACTGGGGTGGTCGGCAACTCACCTGCCCGGGGAGTCACCAGCACCTCTGACTCTTTCATACCTCACTCCCTCCAACCACCCTAAAGCAGGTCCTGCTGCCCCCAGCTTGCATGTTAGCCTGGCTCAGGCCGCCTCCCTCCTTCATTAGATGTGCTGCGCCCACGGAGGGCAGAAAGCCACTTGTAAAGTTTTCTGGGTCTAACGTGTGGCCCTGTCCCCGGCTGCCCTCACTCCAGCCTCCTCCAGGTCAGTCTCGGAACTTGGATTGGCAGGGGTCCCCTTATCTCGTCAGGCTCCAGGCAGGCCCTGCGTGCTCTCCAGCCCACAGGGCTGGCAACTATCTGAGAAGCCGCACAAGCCACACTTCTACTCAATGGGCTGGACAATCTGTCACAACAGCTGCAGTCACCACAGAAAGGGGCAGATGGGCATGGGGGGGTCCCAGTGGAGCTCTGTTTACTGTTTCCAACAGGTACCTGCTAGATCTGGATGGGACAGTGGGCTCCCCCTCCCCTGTACTGATGAACTTGGAGACCACCAGGCAGGATCCAGGGGACAAACCCAAGGCTGACTTTTGCTCGGTCCCATCCACCCCGGCCACACACAGCCACTTCGAGGGCCTGTTTCTGTCTCCTCAGAACGAGGGCTCAACTCTGGGCATCACCAGACGAAGGTAAGGGGTGGTGCGGGCACACACAAACTCACCAGGGTCATGATGTCGTTTGCCAGGTCTCTGGCAAGATCTGGGGTGACAAAACAGGACAGACCAGTCAGTGCCACTCCAGTGTCGTACTGGCTGGGGCTGCTCAGGTCCTGCAAGGGGACGGCAGGAGCGTCAGTGCAGTCCCTTGGGACTGTGTGACGTCTGCATCCCAGCCGCCTGCATCCCAGCAAGAGGGGGCATTCACAGCTCCTCTGCTGTCATCAACAGCAACTGGGACAAGGTCAGAGGCAGAGGACCAGAAAGCTCTGTATGGAAGCCAACAGCTCTCGGCAACGCTGCAGGGACCTGCTTCTACTCAGCCACTCCCCGACGACACCGGGGACATTCTGGACCGATGCTGAGTCCATCCTTCTAAAGAGCAGGGGACCTGAGGCAGAAGACCCAGGCGGTCGCTGTCCCCACCCCTCAACTTCCGGTGCCGACCCCGCTCTCACTAAAGCAGGGCACCTGTCACTAGGGCTCATCCTGGGGGGCCACACCCACTTTCTAAGGGCTCCCCAGCTATGTATGTCGCAGATACACCGGGCACACCGAGTGATATTAACCCAACACTGTAACCTTTAAGGCCTTTCCCTGTGCAGTGGGCTCAAACAGCTTCAGAAGCTATGCTCAGCCCTGTCCTCAGAGGGCAGACTTCAGTGTCACCTCCCACAGGGACAGAGACGCAGCAGTGAGCAGCGAGAGCACTGCCCTCCTCCTAACAGGAAAGCATCAGGAAGACACGAACAGAGAGCCCTAGCCCCAGGGTCCAGGCTGTTTTAAGCTGCAGAGGGACTGGGGAGCCTGGGATTTGTGCCTGTGTTCAGTCGGCACACAGGTCCCTGCTGCACAGACACAGGTCCCTGCCAGGACATCAGCAAATGCTGGGGACAGCACTAACTCCAACCTCCTCTCTTGTCTCTTAAAGAGGGAGGCCTAGCGCCGGCCTCACACACTGGAGGCGCACAGACAGCTAGATGCTGATGGAGCCAGAGCCGGTGCCGGCCCCAGCCGACCCCAATCACCTCTGCAGCCCACTCCCCTCCTCCTAGAGCCCAGTCCCCTGAGAGCCCTCTCAGATCGGCTTCTTCCCCCAAGGCCCACCCACCCAGGACCGTGTTCCTTTAGAAGGCCCCACCCACTCGGGCCCCTGCTGCTCCCAAGAGGACCCAGTCACATAGACCCTTGCCCCTCTCAACATGTCTGGCCAGCCCAGGATCTGCTCTTCCAAGTACTCCGGCTCACCCAGGCCTCCTGCTGGACCCCACAACCCAGCTCACTACCCCGTGGCTTGCAGCCATGCACCCCAAAGCCCTGCACCTCCAGCCCCACCCTCAGCCGGGCTGCGTCCTCATCAGCACCAGGAACCCACCTATGCTGCTGTGGCGCCCACCTATTCATTCCTCTTCCACCTGACACCTGCCCACAGACACGCCAAAACCCCAGTGTCATCCCCCCTCAGGGTCCTGCCCTTACTCCAGCATCTGTGAACACACAGAAATTATAAACGGGCTGGCCACACAGAGGGGCAGCCTCACCCTGCAGGAAGGGGCGGGGCGGGGTCAAGGGCATCCACAGGCACTGGGAGCCTCCTAAGAGCCAGGTCAGCCTGGGGGAACCCAGCGTGGAGGTGGCGGGACGGACTGGGCTGCCCTGCAGCACTGAGCAGCACTAAGCAGTACTAAGCAGGGAGTGGGGAAGGGGCAGGTGCAAAGCTCCAGCCTCAGGCCCGCCCAACGATGTGACAGCTCCCGCCTGCTGAGACACGGGATGAGCACTGACACGGCCTTGGGAAGCTGCCCTAGGCAGAGGAGGCACCACTGACACGGCCCTCAGCGGTGCCTTCTGTGGCTCACTGGAGTGGCAGGAGAGCATCAGGGCCTACCTTTCGGATCTGGTTGGTGGTCAGCATAATGACATCGGTGCCCTCATGGAAGCACTGGGAGGCGGCAAGGTAGCCAACACGCTGCAGAATCAAGAGCCACAGAGTCAGAGCCACCCGGAGCCCACGGGGCCCCTGCAGCCCCGCCAGGAGCCCCCAGCAAACCCGTGTAGACACAGGGTGCCAGCACAGGGGGACAGGCACCGGGACAGAGTTCCAAGGCCTCCTCCTCCCTAACGCCCCTCCCAGCACGTACAGACAGGTCTGCACACAGGCCTGAAATAAAACAGGTAATGGGAAAAGTCAGAAGGGACCAGTGCGCCCAACTGTGTCCACCAGAGGCTAGGCAGGAAATGACTCGCCATGACAATGACCCCACAACTAGGTATCTCAGCCCTTGGGACAGCAGTGCTGGTCAGCCTTGACTACCTGGGCCACGCAGGCTCCATCAAACACCACTACTGTGGCACAGGGTGGCACACTCTGTCATGGCAACACTCAGGAGGCAGAGGCAGAAGACTGTTGTTCAAGAACAATCTTAGCTACAGGGGTTTGAAGCCAGTCCACAGTATGAAAAGCCACAGCCATCCCTACTAACCAGTGTCAAGCCTGGCAATGGTGGCCACACCTTTAACCTCAGCACTGGGGAGGCCGAGGCAGGAGGATCTGAGTCTACAGAACAAGTCCCAAGACAGTCAGGGCCACACAGAGAAACCCTGTCTTGAAAACAAAAAACAACAACAAAAAACCCACCAAGTGTCAATTGCCGGTAGTTGGGGGGAGGGGGGGGGCAGCAGGTGAGATTGAGGTTCTGGTGTTAGCCCACCAGCAGGCAACCCCCTGGTGGATGGTTCTCAGGTAGGCAAGCTCCCCTGCCCAATGAGGGCCCCGGAATGCCTTTTGCTCCTCATGTGTCTTTGCGTGCTTGCTGTTGCTCTGCAGGGCTGAACTGGGTGTGGGGAAATTCCCCACCGCAGGGAAGGTCAAGTGTTTATCTCACTGGAAACATCCCCTACTACTGGATATTTTTACCTTCTAATTGATAACAGTAATGTTATCTTATGCAAAGCCTTGACAAGTCCATACAAAGACATGTTTTTCAGCTAAGACCTTTGAGCTCCACCTTAGAAGCTGCTTTAGATAAGAGCTCAGTTTAATGATTAAAGAAAACTGATTCTGCGGCAGCCAGGCTGGCCCTAACTCATTAACGCTTAAAAGACAGACACAGGTCTGTGTCCTTGTACCCATTCCAGCCCTCAGTTCCCGACACAAGAAACTAGTGATGAGGGGCTGGAGAGATGGCTCAGCGGTTAAGAGTGCTGCCTGGCCGGGTGGTGGTGGCGGCGGCGGCGGCGGCGGCGGCGGCGGCGGCGGCGGCGGCGGCGGCGGCGGCGCACGCCTTTAATCCCAGCACTCGGGAGGCAGAGCCAGGTGGATCTCTGTGAGTTCGAGGCCAGCCTGGGCTACCAAGTGAGTTCCAGGAAAGGCGCAGAGAAACCCTGTCTCAAAAAACCAAAAAAAAAAAAAAAAAAGAGTGCTGCCTGCTGTTCCAGAGGTCCTGAGTTCAATTCCCAGCACCCACATGGTGGCTCACAACCATCTGTGATGAGATCTGGAGCCCTCTTCTGGCCTGCAGGCACACATGCAGGCAGAACATTGGATATGTGATAAATCTTAAAACAACAACAACAACAAAGGGAACTAGGGATAAGTGGGCATACACCCTGAGATCTAAGGTACAGCTGACTATCTTTTATGTACACAGTTTAGGTTTGTGATTCCTATAGGATTCCTGGTAAGATTAACTTTCAAGACAGACAGTAGAATGCTTGCTTGGTAGCCTGGTCTACGCCCTGCTGGCAAGGGAGTTGTCTGTGAAAATACACTTCCTGTCTGCTTATGCTCTGCTGATCTGCAGTAAGTTACCTAGATGTAAATATATACGGGATATTGGGATGGCTTTATTTTTACTCATGTAAGGGAGATAGATGAACAACATGTCACCTGTACTCCGTAGGAATTTACCAAAGTGACTGTATGGTGTACAGAGTTGAATGAACAGACGGTTTTTTAAAAGTGCCTTGACCTTAAAGAATCCCTATGGAAAACAAGGACTGTTTTGCTGAGGGGCCTTGCGACCATCCCGTACTTTGGTCACAGGACAGCTCAGGCACACCTGGGCTCTTGTATTCTTGTGTACTGCACACAATGCACAGTGAAGGACTAGGGCCATGCAGGCCTGTGACATGTAAATAGATTAAGGTTCGGGACCGAGGTATGAGGAACTACTTTATGTAACAATCTATACATATGCCTTTGCACGGCTGTCCGCACAAGCCTGGAGCCAGCTGAGCGCAGCCCGGTCCGTCCATCAGAAGAGGCGGATGTCAGAAGGAAACCACCAGTCAGTGTCGGTGTCTTTTCCTAACCCCTCAGACAGAACAAGTCTAAGCTTCGCTCGTGCCGTGGCCTCGCTCTGAGCCCGGAGCTGCCCAGAGGCTGGTCCCTAGACAGTAGCCGCCACTGGTGCAGCTTCAGAGAAACAAACACCAGACCTGGCTATCAGTCACATCGAAAACCACGGCAGTGGTTTATGAACCGCTTTATGTTCTGTAGCCCAGACCGGCCTGCAATATGCAATCCTCCTGCCTCAGTCTCCCCAGTGCTGGGATTACAGCTGGGCATCCTGGGACTGGGCATGGCCGACCAACGCTTGAGAGCCCAGGGTGACCCTTCGGCAGGCTTGTCATGCTGGCGTTCTCCTCTGCTGCTGTTGTCTAGACACGCTCTCACACTGTAAGACTGGGCGGAACTCGCAGTAATCCTCCCGTCTCAGCCCTCCACATGCTAGAATTACAGGAGCATGCTGCCACAGCCAGCACTTTGCTGTTTTGTCTCCTGCAACAGCAGCTCCCTTGCTTAGGAAGCGCTGATGGAGGGCTGGTGTCTGTCTGCAGGGGCGGGACAGCAGGAGCCAGCCGCTGTAACTAGGCAGCCCTTGGGCCCCGCGCGGGCCGCACCGTGCGGCGGCCAGCTGAAGGACGGCGGGCACAGAGGGCAGCGTGCAGGGCAGCTGGCACCCCACCTGTCCTCCAGGAGGAAGCCACGGACACCCATCTATCCCAGTCCTCCCCACTGGCAGAAGGCAGGCTGTCTCCCTTCACCAGCAGAAACATGGCCACAGGACCCCCCAAGGACCCCCTGCTGGAGGGGCCCTCCTCCCTCAGGAATTCCACTCACAGCACACGCGCCGGCCAGGTGCCCTGGGCCCTCACCTTGAACGTGAACTTGGAGGCACTCATGACTTCGATGATGTTGAAGGCAGCCCAGCTGATGTCGTACCCGAGCATCTGTAACTGTTAGGAGGGCAAGCACGGTGGTTTGAACTCAGGGGACACCGGGCAACGGTCTCAGCCACAATCGGAGCACACACAGCCCAGGTGGACGAACAAAATGCATCCAGTCTGAGCATGAAAACAGCATCCATCGCACACCCTTGTGGAATTTTATATTCTCTTTCTAACAAATGACTCGGACAAGGCTGGTCCTGCTTGGGGGGGGGGGGCATGACTCCAACCTGAGGAGGAATGGAGCAGAGGACAGCCATATCCACCTACACCTGCCAAACCTGGAGAAGCCAGGCTCCCCAGCACTTGCCACACACCCAGCCTGCACCAGCCACAGGAGCACCAGGCAGGACTCTGCATGAGCCTTGTGCTGCACACAGCAGCAATGTGTGGTGGACAGACGGACGGATGGACAGGCGGACAGACAGGCAGGCAGGGGCACAGGGGAGGCACTCACGTAGGTGAGCTTGCAGACAGCGTTGGCCTTCACAGCGATGTTGTCCTGCTTCAGCTCCTGCTTGATCTCGTCAATGCACTGCGAGATGTACTTGGCCTGGGTGGGAGACAGTAATGTGACGGTGGGACACTGAGTGTGGCCAGTGAGAGGCTGTCACAGGTGCTCAGGGAGGTGGGCAGGAGGACGGAGAGGTGGAGCCAGCCTGGGTGCAGAGCCCTGAACAGAGCTGCTGTTCCTCAGGCAAGCGCAGTCCTGAGCTGTGTGTCAAAGCCCAACTGGGCACTGTTTATCCACAACAGGCGAATCTAGAGGCAGGAAGCAGACAATGGAACTGGGAGAGGCTAGTGACTGCTCTAGGAGACAGGGCTTCACCTGGGGAAGGCAGACTATCCTGGACCACCCCTCTGATCCACCCTTGCTACAGAGCCCACTGAACCCCTTTCCCTCCCACGGGCTGCTCTGCACAGCCCCACTCACTGGCATTCGCCCTCGGCCTCCCCACTCACTGGCACAAACTCAGCAAATCTAAAACAACTACTTGGGCCAATTGGGCCAGACGCGTCAACCCAAGAGAACTGAGGCACAAAGTCCAGAGACGGTCAGGTGTGGGCCCTGGGGAGAGCCTCCTACCCCACGCCGAGACAAGCACAAATGGAGCCCCCGGGACAGCAGGAGCTGGGGGAGGTGCTGAGTGTGGCCACATCTGCCCAGGAACCTGGCTGTCACCTGACAGTGGCACCAGCAGCTGCCACCAGGGCTGCCTCCCACCCCGAAGCTGACACACTCCAGAGCCGTCAAACCCCAGAACTCCCACCTCACCCCCGTGGGCATGTGTGGGCAGCAGGTTCCATCCCAAAGCCCTGTGAAGCTAACCTAACAGGCTGCTGGGAGACCACCACTGCCCAGGGCATCCTGTCCCTAGCATGGGCCACAGGGAAGAATCAGCACCCTCTCAACAACAGATTTATTTATTTTGTTCTCTCGGGTTTGTTGGTTTCAAGACAGGGTTTCACGTAACCCAGCTACATGAAATGCAGTTGAGGCTGGCACTGAACTCCTGATCCCCACGGAATGGCAGGCATGGGCTACTTCCCTGAATATTTTATGATCTAGACCGAGTCCAATGGAACAAGTGTCACCACAGCCTTACTGCCTCAAGTAACTAAATGCCACTCAGGGATCCTCGTACCCCTGCTGCAGGAATGACCTTGTCTCTCCCTCCAAAGAAGTCTGACTGAAAAGGGGAAGAACTCAAGGCCAGCCCTCTGTGGAAGGGATGGACCCTTGGCTGGAGGTAGGGTGGGGCTTGAAGAGGAAACCAAGTAGGAACTCCACTGAGTGCCAGAGTTCAGCCTGGCAAGGGGTGCCTGCCCAAATACTCAGCCTTCCAGCAGGACTCAGAAGCTGGGTGTTCTCAGTCCCTGTAATAACCTCCTGGTTTTCAGGAGGGAAGGCCACTGCTGCCCAAAACACAAGCCACAGTGACTCCACGACCCAGGTCTGGTGGGGCAAACCTGTCATCACAGCACCTGGGAGGCCGAGGCAGGAGCTTGACTACCTCAAGTTCCAGGCTAGGCTGGACTACATAGCAAAGTCCCTGACTCAAAAACCCAAATTAAAAAAGAAACCAAGAGGGGCTGGAGAGATGCCTCAGCGGTTAAGAGCACTCACTGACTGCACTTCCAGAGGTCCTGAGTTCAGTTCCCAGCACCCACATGGTGGCTCACAGCCATCTACAGTGGGATCTGATGCCCTCTTCTGGCGTAAAGTGTACGTGCAGACAGAGCACTCAAACGATTTTTAAAAAAGGAAAGGACAGGTGGGGAAGAGCTGGTGGTAGAGCCCTCCCTGCCCATGCTGAGGACCTGAGCTCCAAGGACAGGTGGGGAAGAGCTGGTGGTAGAGCCCTGCCCATGCTGAGGACCTGAGCTCCATCACACAGTGCATGTGCAGTCCTAGTGCTCTGACATCAGGATGGAGGTGGAGACGGACACTTCAGGAGCCCTGCACACAGCAACAGCAGAAACTGCCTCAGACACGAGTGTGAGGACTTGGATGGAAAGTAATTCACCGAGTGGATTTTTACAGCCTTGTGCTAGCGCTGAGGCTGCTGGGTATGCATCCAGAAGGAACAGAGCACAAGAAGAAAAATAGTTTTCAAAACAGCGACTCAGCCCCTCCCCCCACATCTGGTGAGAGACAAGAAACTCACACTTCAGTCCTTTAATCCCAGCACTTCAGAAGGCAGAGGCAGGAGGATCTCTAAGTTTGAGGCCAGCCTGGGCTACAGTGTGAGATCCTGTCTCTAAAAGAAATGAAAACCAGGCTGGAGAGATGGCTCAGAGGTTAAGAGCACTGCTTGTTCTTCCAAAGATCCTGAGTTCAATTCCCAGCAACCACATGGTGGCTCACAACCATCTATAATGAGATCTGGTGCCCTCTTCTGGCCTGCAGGGATGTGTGCAGACAGAACACTGTATACATAATAAAAAAAAAAATCTTTAAAAAAAAAAAAAAAAAAAAGAAATGAAAACCAAGCTTGACCTGCTGAGTTTGACCCCTTGAAACAACATAGTAGAAGTAGAGGAAGAAAAACAAAAGGAAAAACAAAACCAAACCAGGGCAGACACACTTTCTCCAGATTTTTTTGTGGTGCTGGGGAAGAAGCCCAAGGCTTGCTCATCACTGTGTAGCCCAGGCTGGCCTTAAAGGTGGAACATCCTGCCTGGGCCTTCTTCCAGGCATGTGCTCCATGCCAGCTGGCTTTGTGAAAGAGGGGGCCGCCAAACCCAGAGAAGCCAGGCAGTAACCAATGGCCCAGCTTGTACTTCCTGGTTGAGTGCTGAAATCCGGGGTCCCTAGGTGAGCCTGGCAAGGGCACCCGTCATAAGAAGCACAGAAAAACTCAAGTATCCAATAAGGACTGTACCAGCCTGCTCATAAGCTGGCCGGAGGGGCTGGCAAGAAGTGTGGCTCACGTTCTGGGAGACAGGCATACTTTAGGCCAGGAATTGGTCCATGTGGGCATATCCTCATAGGCCTTAGGAGCCTCCCTGGGCTCCTGTCTGGACGTGGCAGGACTGTCGCTTCGCTCTCCTGCGGCTCTAGGGAGCAGCCACATCCTGCTTGCTCCAGTGTTCAGAAGTTCCACATCCTTAGCTCAAGGCTCCTTCCTTCCCCCAGACCCGGCAGCAGTCTCCTAGGCTCTGCCCCTCAACCCTGCCTTCCTGCCTCCCTCGGAGGACCCAATGGTGAAACTGGGTCCAGATGATCCAAGACGACGCCCAGATCAGGGTCCTCAGTTTGATCCCATCTGCAGAGTCCCTTCTGCCACTGGAGGACACATGCCCAAAGGTCTCACAATTAGTACATGGGCATCTCTGGTGGACCAGAGTCACCTGAAGGCACCCAAGTCACCCAAAGTCAGAGCAAGACTGAGCCAGGAGCTGTGACTCCCATGGTTACAGCGGAGAAACCAAGAGATGGAGAAGCCGCTCCACCTGCAACACAGACAAGGGAATGTGGATGCATGGGGAGCCTAGAAGTAAGGGGAAGTGGAGACTAAATGGTGCCAGTCCCAGCCCCGGGGACCCAGATAGGAAGCCTAACTTACAAAGAGAAGCCCTGGGGGAGCTCAAGTCTCTGCATAAATAAGTAAATTGAGCAAAGCGAACAGAATCCAAAGAGGTTCCAGTATCTGTCCTCTCAGCTAATCAGGAAGTTAAGGCACGGGGATCTTGAGGTCACGTCCAGCCTGGGCAACTCTGCATAACCCCATCTCAAAATGAAAAATAAAGAGAGGGCTGGGAGTGTGGCTCAGGTAGAGCTCCCCTCCACAATCCCCAGTGAGGGGCTATGGGCGTGGTCAGGGTGGAGCCCCGCCTAGAATCCCCAGTGAGGGGCTGGGGGCGTGGTCAGGGGTGGAGCCCCGCCTAGAATCCCCAGTGAGGGGCTGGGGGCGTGGTCAGGGTGGAGCCCCGCCTAGAATCCCCAGTGAGGGGCTGGGGGCGTGGTCAGGGTGGAGCCGCGCCTAGAATCCCCAGTGAGGGGCTGGGGGCGTGGTCAGGGTGGAGCCCCACCTAGAATCCCCAGTGAGGGGCTGGGGGCGTGGTCAGGGGTGGAGCACCTGCCTAAAATCCCCTAGTGAGGGGCTGGGGGCGTGGTCAGGGGTGGAGCACCTGCCTAAAATCCCCTAGTGAGGGGCTAGAGAGTTGTGGCTCAGGGGTAAAGAACAGCCTAAAATTGACCCCGAACTGCCAGTGCCACAAAAACACCAACCTGGGCAACGCAGCAACACTGTCTAAAGGCAGGGTGGGGGGGGTGGGGGGGGCACGAGCACACACACGCATGCGCGAGCATCAGCCATTTGTGCTGGGTACAGAATGAGCAGGAAAAGAATGGCCACGGCAGAGCAAAGGACACCGACAGCCTCAGGCACAGGTCACCTCAGGGCCCAAGCCTCAGAAACAACCATGAGCTCCTAGTCTGTCAAAGAGCCTCGCTAGTGTTTATGACAAGCAAAAGTCCAACGCAGGACCTGGAGCAGCCGCTGACGGAGGACAGGACTGCACACATCTGGGTTTTTAACTGGCACAGTCCTGTGAGTGGCTAGACAGAAACATGCTATGGTGGCAGCCAAATCCAACACGGCCAGGCTGTGGTGGTGAACGAAGCCTGGTCACAAGCTAGGACAGAATGGTAGTGGCCTTGGCACACAGGGCACAGATGAGTGGAATCAATCCACCTCCTTCCTGAGCAAGGGTGGAGGTCTGAGACACTCATTTGGGATGCCACCATCAGTCACTAATGGGGTGCCACAAGCACCAGGTAGCACTTCTAGTTCTGGAAGGTCCTAGAAACTTCCAAGAGGCAGACAATGGAGCAGTACCAACACAGGCAAGGAATATCTTCTGGAAATCTGTAACTCCCGGCTTGACAGACATGCCAGAGAAAAGACACATCTCCACCTGACCTGTGGAGCTTCCCATCAGAGGGGAACAGCTAAAACCCCATGAGACAGCTACATCAGCATCTCAGAAACAGCCCGGCTGGCCTGACTGCACCGCACAGACCGGCCAGTGCCCAGAGAAACCTACAGGAGAAGGAGCTGAGCTAACCGCAGCTGGGGGTTTGGAGACCTGGCTGACTGCAGAGAAA